AAGCAAATACTTTAATAGCTAAACAAACAAGTTTTACTAAGAAGTTTACAATAAACAGCCCTGTCAATATGAGAATTTCCAACCAGTTTATGTTTAAAAATTCTACATTTCTAGAGTCTAATTAATCAGAGAGTTTTAAAAGTCTGGGCAAACAATTATTTTAAAGATAGTTTTAATCCCACAGATTGTGATATAGGAAAACACTGAGATCTTCTCCTAATTTAGGATTTACGACTACTTGGATTGTAGCCTTGAGGAACATGTTTTGATATTTAATATCTTTATTCTGTTCCCAAAAATAGAAAATAGCAATGTACTGTTTTCTAGGTAACCCTTCCTATTCCCTGCCCAGTTAAAGGGCCATGTATATAAAAAAAGAAAATAGCATTAAAGCACAAAAGAAAAGTAGAAAAAGTATTCTTTTTGTTTTTCAAATATTGTTTACTTGTGAATTTCATACGAAAATAATAATAATACAAAAAAACTAATACTGGTATTTGAATCAAGTATCTTTCATCTTATTGCTGAATCTCTTAGCGATTGATTCATCCATTATTCGGCTACAGAGGAGAACTCCCCTGTTGTCTCTTAACTGTCTCTGATCTGCAATTTTTATTTAAAACCTCCACTGTTTTTAAGTCAGCAAACTAACAGCCCTTTCTTTGAAATTAGTTTTAGGTGTTTAAGGTCAATCAAAGCATTAAATACTGAAGATCTTGTAATTCCATTTTTGGTTTTTATATTTATTTATTCATTCACAGCAACCACCTCTATAAGAAAACCTGCAGCCCATGTTTTTTTTTTTTTTATCAAATGATGCAGCGCTGACCTGTCCCCACCTGATGCTGCAAAATGCCAAACAAGATGCTGAAGTTTGTTCCTACAAAATTCATAAAAAGAAAAAAAAAATGCTTTTATTTAGAAACATGGTGTGTCACTGTGTAGAAACTTAGGAGATATTCAAAAACCTGCAAATAATACAATACATATGATAATATTAAACCTACGTTATAATTTTGTAGTATGGGTTTTTGCTTTTATGTTTGAAGTAAACCAGGTATTTACAGGGAGAGAATTCTAAAACCCAGTTGACAGGATATGAGATTTATTTTTAGTTTGTTTAATATGAGCGGCATGCAGATCCTTTTATTTTTATTCATTCATTTTTACAGCACATGACGAACTACTGAAATTATTTGCAGATATCATAAATAGATTAACAAATTCCGTCAGGGGAAAGGAATGGCTTTAAGGTTAAGATTCACTCGGTGAAAAAAACCTACTGAGCCTACTGGCAAATCTGAAGCCATTTTATGGGACTGACAACCACTAATAATGATGATTTGTAAACCAGTGACCAGTGGTACTTTGTAATGTAATTTATGATTGTTTATGGACCAGAAATACTTTGGCGAAACATGTGCTGTGCATGTGTGAACCTTGCATGCTTACGTGAATCATGCTGTGTGTCTGTGGAGCTTGTACTGTGCATGTATGAATCACATATGTGTATTTGTCAAAATTGAGAATGATTTGGCTCCATAGGTAACAGGATAGATCAAAACTCTACTCTCCTATATATTGTACTGGCTCATCCTTACGTTTATTGAAAACATGAATCAGAGCCAAAAGAAAAAAAAAAAAACAACAACAAAAATATTTTTAGGAACTGAAATTTCAATCCTTTAGTTAGTGATTTCATAAGGCTAAACGTTCTGTTATAAACCAAGTAGGAACCAGCAGACTTCCCTTTATAGGATTTTTAATTAAATCTCATACAACCACATCATGCCTGCCTGTAAAGACTGAAAAATAAGTTTTGTCCTCGGGTTTTTTAAAATAACAGTGAGCAATAATTTGAAATAATCATCATACAATTAAGAGCAGGTAGTTTTGGAATCCAAATGTGAATATATGCCTATTCCAAAAAAGTAAAAAAAAAAAAACAATCCACTGGATTTTGATTCCAAGTTTGAAGACCTTTTGCTTCCCATCCAGGAAGCTTTTTCAATTCAAATTGTGAAGAATAGTGTTGAGTTCGAGGTTTTGTACAGAAGCCCTTCAAAACCTTGTTTTTGTTTGGAAAACATGCAAACTGAAACGGGTGAACGGGTCCACCCTTTGGAATGACGGTTGTTTGGCTTCTTTTGTTAGCCTGCAATGCCCCATACCTCTCTATGTCTCTGAAAGGAGGTTGTTAAAGGGAATTGTTGGCCTGGCTGAAAATGCAAGGTCTTCTGCTCTCCTGTACAGGGGTTGGGGTTGTGATGATAGCAGGAAGGGATCAACTCAATTTCTGCATTGTAGTTTCTTAAAAAGCTGAAACCTGAGTCCACCACATATGCTAAATTGGTTTTTCCTTCTTAACCTAGATGGCTTCCTTCATGCCCCTCTGAAACCACCTATTTTCTTTGCCCAAAATGTGAACATTCTGGTCCTCAAAAGAATGTCCTTTGTCCATAAGGTGTAGATGTACCACAGAGTTTTTTCCTCGAGGAGGTCTCCCTCTTGTGTTGGGCCATGTGTCTGTGGAGAGGTTGTTTAGTTTCGCCAATATAATGATCAGAGCATTCCTCACTGCATGGAACGGCTCATACTACTCCGCTCATCCCAGGTTTGGGGCTTTTGTCTTTAGGATGCACTAGTCTCTTTTTAAGGGTCTGGTTTGGTTTGAAATGTCCTGGGATTTTATGTTTGGAGAAAATCCTCTTGATATTTTCAGAGCCTCCAGCAACATATTGGATAGCAATGTTTTGGGGTTTAATCTTTAATCTGCTGCATATCTTTTGGATTTCCTCGTTGATTTGACAAATGCCCAGTTTGGGTATCCACAGGTTTGAAGAGCATCTTTGATGACTTTCTGTTCTCTCTGCTTTCCTTCTGTTTTTGCAGGGAAAGACTTAGCCCGGTGTTCTGGTTCTGATGGTTCTGATGACTGAAAGTTTGTGTTCCAGTGCCCGACAAAACCTTGAATAAAACCTCGAACTAAACTCTATTCCCGATATTTTGAATGGGAAACAAAGTCCAGTGGATTGTTTTTTTTTTTTTTTTTACTTTTTTGGAATGACTATGACCTGGATGACTGTGAATCTTCACCAGAATATATGCCTATTATATCCATTTATCCCAGCGTGTGACCACAAGAGGCAGCAACCATATACTTTCACCAGTGTGTACAACGCAACAAAACAGCATGGGTTGGTTTTAAAACACGTATAACACTGTCTACGTGTAAGAAAACACAAAACCCATGATTGCCAAAGTTAGCTGACGGGCTAACGTTACCTTACCTTTCAAACGTAACAACTACGACTCTAAACCTAGGATGTATCTCATCGTCTTATATTCACAGTAAATTTTTTTAAGGTTATTAAATCTAAAATATTTTGAAAGAAGCATTTCAACTTAAAATAGCACAAAATTACCTCTGAAATCGGCCGACGCCATGTTGATAAACAAAATATACCTTGTCCCTTAAAATTTGCGTTTCGCTGTCCGTCGCGTCGCAGCTTGATGACGTATCACAGCAAAACTTAGCAAGTCGCTAACTTATTTTGTTATATATATATATATATCTATATGTATCTCGGAAAGTGTTCTGAACGAAAATTCTGAGCAGGGTGTCTCAAGGGTTATATATATAGAACAGGGCAGACCAGTCTGACTATGCATGTCAGCATTCTTTATGTTTAGAACAAACGTTTTAGCAAAAAAAAGTACTTTTCTTGTGATATTATAATGTAAATTTATATATATATATATATATATATATATATATATATATATATATATATATATATATATATATATATATATATATATATATATATATATATATATATATATATATATAAATGATTTTAGTTTTGATTAAATACTTTACATTATAAATGTTTTTAAATTGACAAACTAATTTTAAGTTATTTTTGTTTTTATAAGAGTTCCCTTAAAATGTATTGGAGAAATAAAAGATTTCAGAAATATATATAAATAATGATACTAAAAACGAACAAAATACTACACCCTTGCTAAAAGACCAAAACAATACTTTGTTTAATTACCTTTGGATCTAATTTCACCTTTAAAATTCTCTCTCTCTTAAACCCTATATTACATTTACTTATCCATAATGTTCCAGAATCAACAAAAATTTATGTTCTTGTCAACTCATACTTAGCTGTGTTAGCTGTGATAATCCTTTTACGAATGGCGATGCTGAGAACTTTAGGGTCCATACAGCTTTTGGTATTCTGAACCTTTCACAGTTCAACCCTTCTCTTTTAGTCATTTTGAGGTTATCCCATTTAGAAAAGGGTACTAACCTACAATTAAGGAGATATGTAAATTTTTGTGTAGCTATATAAATACACCTTCCCATCTACAAATGTAGCTTGAACTTCAGGATGTAAATAAGCAAATGTCTAGAAAACTCATTTGAGGATTTTTAAAATCTGATTCAGTATTTAAGTAACATAATAAGTTCATTTTTTTATCTGATAGCTAGCTTTCCTAAAAACTGTGTTGGATTATATCTAAACCATGTTTTGAGATTATTTATCAATGTCTTAATATTTAAATACAAAAAGAAGGGTATTTTTGACTTCTCGCAGCTCATAAAGCTTAGAAATTTCATTTAATATCAACAAATGAATTTATTAAAATTATTAGTTGGGAGACAGAGATTTTGAAAATAACATCTATTCTGTTTATGGGCATTTTAAGTCAAAATGCTTAGGTTTCGGACTTTCGGACAATTAGTTTGGGAATTCATCAGGTCAAGCTTAATTATAGTAGGCATGTAACTTTAATTTGAAATGAGTCCAATTCATGATATTCAGTCCACACATCTCATGCATGAAAGAAGCTGATAGATAAAAGAAGGTGGAATTTTCTAAATGCATGATAATCCTTCCTTGGGTGAAACCAAAGTGTTCACTGGCAGAATCAAAATGATTTCTTAATTGATAGACCAATAGGCTCGTTTGAACTGAAAACAAGGCAGCCGATTACAACAGAGGAGCGCGCGTCGCACGGTTGCGCACAGAGAGGACGTAGCTGCGACACAGGCGAGGCGAAAGATGTGGTAAAAAAAAAATCCACTCCACACCAGCCTTTTTTATTTTATTTTGCTACAAAGCAGACTAAATCAATAGCTAAAAATGTCCAAGATGAGTGCGATCCAGGCTGGAAGCGAAGGGAGGGTGGAGAGCGGCAGAGGCAGCCTGACCACCAGCAGCGGCTGCGGCTCCCCGAGGCTCCAGCAGCGCGCTCACCCCCCCAACAGCGGCAGCCGGAGCAAAGAAAGCAGAAATCAGCAGCAGCAGCTTCAGCTGCAGAGGCATCATGGTGGGGCGATGCTCAAACAACCATCTCACAACGAGCCAGCTGACGTCGTGAGGCGGGCGCTCGACTTTAAGAGCCAAGGCACCCAGTGTTACAAGGATAAGAAATACAGAGAGGCGATCGGCAAGTACCACCGCGCTCTGCTGGAGATCAAAGGGCTGTGCAGGGTGCTGGGGGACCCGGACCCCAGCTCCAAGTCCACCTCCACTCTCCTTCCCACCATCAGCAAGTCCAGCACGCTGACAGATGAGCAGAAGGGGGCGATGGAGAATGCAGAGCTGGAGTGTTACAACAGCCTGGCTGGTAAGAGATGCTTTATTTACACATTCCAATGCTTACTGTTGCTTTACACAAAGGGATTATGAAAAAAATCATTAATGACTCATAACCCCTTTTCTTTTCTTTTTTTTTTTTTTTACATGACTGCCTTATTTGTTTTCTCAAATTATTAACAAAATAACTGGTGATAATTTCGGCCTTGCAGGAATTTACCTGCAAAAGACACAAATAATTAAATGCAATTGTGATCGTTTAATGTCTTTAATGTCTCATTCTAGCTTGTCTTTTGCAAATGGAGCTGGTGAACTATGAACGAGTGAAGGAATACTGTCTGAAAGTTCTTCTCAAGGAAGGGAAGAACTTCAAAGCCCTCTACCGATCAGGAGTGGCCTACTACCACCTAGGAGACTACCAGAAGGCTCTGTACTATCTGAAGGAGTCACACAAGCAGGAGCCATCAGGTCAGCAGCCAGAATCCCACACAGCAGCTGCAATGGCAGTTTTTATATGTGCCCTAGGTCTCACCCCCCAGGGCAGCAGAGCATAGGGTCACCTTTGTTAGAAAATCTTCAAATATCTGTTGCCCAGTCGGGAATTGGCCCCACTATATTTATTAAAATCCATATTTATTTGTCTATTTAACATTGGGCTTTGTCAGGGAAATGGCAGCAGGTTTAAGTGTGAATAGGGTGACAATGAGTAGGTTACCTTACATATCTGATAAAAAAAAAACGAACAAAAAAACATCTTAAAAAAGCATCTTAAAAAATTAAGCCATAAGATTTCTGATCTGAAATAAAAAGTGTACAAATTCCTTAATGAAAATACTGCTATAATATTTTCATGGAAATCATGATTCTCCATTGATTATATCAGAATTCAGTTATCTCCCTAATGTATTTTTCTGAAAGGATTATGTTGGGTTTTTTTTATAGCAAGTAGTGTCCTGCAAAAATGCTTTATATGTTTGACATACAAGGCACAAGAGGGTAAATACTTTACATTCAAGGATGAAACACAGGAGAACATTCCATGAAACGGAGGGAAAACCATACTAGGACCAGCTGTTAAAGGGAAGAGAAATCACCATTAAAGATGTGATATAGAACTTTTTATAGAAAATCTGGCTCTGTTATAATTCATCCTAACTATTTGGGTTGTTCTTGGCAAGTTATTCCTCACCAGCTTCCTAAAAAGTCACATTTGAAAGATTACATTTCAGGCCTCGTAGGTTTTAAACACATCCAGATTTTCCGTAGTACTCACATGGATAAAATTGTTGGTACCTCTAGTTTGATCAAATAAAACCTCACAATGGCCACATGAATAACTTGAATCTGCCAAAAATAATAATACATTGAAAATATATGAATATAAACAAATGAAATCCAAACAATACTTTTCAACAAGGCTTAAACAGAATGATTCAAATGTTTATACCTGTGAAACAAGGCTGAGCTGCGAGGGGCATCCCAGGCCACTTGCAGCTTTATTACTTTATCTTGTATAACTGTATCCCAGAGGGAAGCTCAAGATTAGCATACATAGAAATAAATCAAATACCTTTACACCTATGGACCGGGCCCATTATCTTGGATACTTGAGTTGGCATTTTTTGTCAATATCTGGACTGATACCGATATAGATATCAGATTGTGCATCTCCGGTTTGCCTTAATCCATCCTGAGTACCTGATATGAAACACACTTTCTACTATTAAGGAGGCCCTGATGTTTTCTTTCTATCTATCTATCTATCTATCTATCTATCTATCTATCTATCTATCTATCTATCTATCTATCTATCTATCTATCTATCTATCTATCTATCTATCTATCTATCTATCTATCTATCTATCTATCTATCTATCTATCTATCTATCTATCTATCTATCTATCTATCTATCTATCTATCTATCTATCTATCTATCTATCTATCTATCTATCTATCTATCTATCTATCTGTAATATTCTAATCACAAGTAACCATGAATACATTACTTGATGCAGGTATACATAGATATGAATATATATAGATTGATATTAACAACTCATTTATTAAAACCCCTTAAGCCTGGTGGGCCTGGTACCAGGTCCATCTGACACCTGCTCATGTCGATCTATCTATAGAAACGGCCAAAACACAGTCAGATCGTGTTTCATCCACATGCTTTTGAAAATGGTGCTTTAATTTTAAATTCAAATGTAACTTTAGATTTCTAAAAAATGTTAAAAATTATTTTTTCACAAATATTTTTTTTTCTTTTATAGCTGTGTAAACAAATAAAATGAGACTTAAAATTCCACCTGACATGTCTGACTCTGCGGGAGTAATGCAACAGCAGGTATTCATCTTTAGCCACACCCCCCAATGGCCAGTATCATTGGAAACTAGAGGCTCAGACCTTTCCAAGGAGGGGTCAGAGGTCATTTTGCTCCCATTTCAGGTGATGTAACTGGCATGCATTACAAAAGCTTGCTCTGTTATTCTTATTTTCTTTTCAGTTTGGTGATATTATTGGTAGATTTCAATGAAACAATGGCTAAATATTAAGAGCAAAGGCATTGCCTTATGCAGAAGGTCTCCAAAAATGTAAATCGGCATATTTGTCAGGCCAGATTCTCTTATATGAGTGGAAAAATGCATTTGGCCACTTTTGGCTGCCCACTAAAACCTTAGTGGAACAAACATGCTTCAAATTATTCAGTCCAAATTTCAAATGGGGTTCAATGGTGTTTTGCAATGTTTATTTTGAAAAAAATGTTGGCAAATCTTGTTGGCAAATAAAAATCTTTCGTTTTTCCTTGGTTTTATGACGTATAATTAAGACATTAAGACATTTTCCAAAATGGCGTCCCCACAGCTAGTGTAACCAACAGTTCATGAGGCGTCTATTATGTCTATGGTCTGTGACTTTACTTAGCACGAAACAATAGGGACTCATCTTACATTTGACTCCTTAATCCTGCCCTGGATGTTAATGTCCTTTGCATTCAAAATTCATTGAATTCAACCAAAAAAGAGGGTGACAAAATTTATAGATTCCTAACCAACGAGCTCTAAGATGTGCAAAAAAATTTGTTTTGCAAATAACCTTCACTTTGCATGAAAAAGTGAGTAGTTTTAATAAAAAAAGTTTTTTTTTGATCTATCTAGCTCCCTAGCTTTCTACTTGTAGACAGAAATCTGGTTTCAAAACTTCATTGTGGTTTACATTTTTTTATGAACCTGTATGAACCTGCATTAAACAGTTATCTACACAGAAACCTGTTAGACAGACTGTTTCAGTAGAGAATAAAGTAAAGGTAGGAATCAGAACGGCAATAATAATGAACCTTTGTTTTTTCTTTTTTGTAAAGCTAAAGAGCTGTAGAAACATAAAGCAGTTTAAGTGAGCTCTATTTTACTGATTTTTACTCTGTTTTACTCTTCTGTTACATCGCTTCTGTTACCAACAACACTCATTAAGGTTGCAGCTGTTAAATATTTGAGTAACTATTGAATAGTCCTCCTTGTAATCAGATATAGATCACTTTTGGGTGTGTAAAGAGATTTCCCAAAGAAGTCTGAAGTGTTTAAGCCATTTTGGGCTTTGGTCCATCTTCAAAAATTACAAATTTTTTCTGACAGCTGATCGGTCAGGCTGTGTATGTGTGATTGTTTCATTAGAATTTTTTATTTATTATAGGAAATTTCTTTTTAATTGAGTGTTTTCAGGAACAATTTCAGCCCAAAGCTTTTTATGTTCTTGTTTATCAGCAAGATCTTAGGTGGTGCACCACCTCAGGTCCTCCTTAAAGCTACAGTGTGTAACTTTTAGCGTAATCTAGCGGTCAGACTGCAGCAACATGAACATCTCCCCCCCACCACTTCTCCCCCCCAACAGTACGGCGAGTGTTACGGGACAAAATGTCTTCCACGACGTCCGCATCACCTACCCTCTCAAGTGATGAGGTTTGTTTACATAGATAATTTTAAAGATAGTATTTCATTAGTCTGTATACGGTATAGATTTCATGTAGACTTAAGATAATAAATATACCCGTTATTTTTTCTACATCGTTGTGACATTTTGGCGATCTCGCAATCACTAGTTTGTTGGCTCTGCACTGCCGTAGCGCAAAGATGTCTGCCTCCATGGCTGTGAGACCCGCTCCTATGTAATTATAAATAACGAATTCTAAGGCAACGCAAATATTAAGGTTAAGAGGCTGAGCTCGTAGATGATGATAAAATAACATAGTTATGTATAATATATTACATTTCTGACTGTATATCCCTGTAATTATTACACACTGTAGCTTTAAATACCTTTTTTTCCCCCCAAGTACTTTCACTTTTTTAGATTTATAAATAGTTTGTCTAAATCTCTATCATGATTTTGAGATTGAAGATGGAAAAATCATCCTATATTTTGACTCTTCTCAGGCAAGCTATATTAAGGCTCCAGGACCAGTTAATCTGGTAAAAAAAACAAACAAAAAAAATCCCCCAGAAAATCTACAACAACTAAATATCTTTTCAGATTTATCATCATATGTCCTTTATAATACAATTTTATAATGAGTATAACGGATTGACTGCCTGCCTCTGTGCAAGGTACGATGAGGTGTGACTAAAACGCATGTCTAAAGAAACTCCCCAGATGTTTTTTATTTAAGGTTTCAACCGTTTTGTTAACTTCTTTCCAGATCTGCTTTTAATGGCGTGACATGAAGGAGATTTTATCTGCTTAGCGTAGTAAGAAGTTTAATTCAAGGGAACTGTTTTGAATCCCATCTTAACAAGAAATAAATCAATGTTTTCCTGTGATTGTTTTACAGACACGAACGCTATCCGCTACATCCAGCTGACAGAGATGAAGATACGCAGAAATGCCCAAAAGGAAAAGAAAGAGGCAACCTAAGTGCTTGCTCCATAAGGCAGCTCACTTGTCATGAGTTGCAGCCTCACTGTGTGCCACTCAGACCTTAAACACCACCTGTCACAGGTCTTTGAGTGAATTCATATTTGTTTAGCTTTTGCTTTGCCTAGCATAACGTTTTAAGTTTACGAACTCTGTTGTGTAGACCATTTTTTGGGGGTTTATATTTTCTTCTGCAAAAGAAATCTTACCAAAACAGACAAATCTATTTGACTACTCATTATGCTTCAGCTCTTTTTAAACCGATGCACTGCCAGTCCAAACGTTGCACATGCAGGCTGACGCCTGTGACCAGAGACTGGAGCGACAAGTTCCACTGTGCTGCATGTCTGCAGGCGAGCGTCACTGTAAGACAGCACCTGCACTCGCACAACAAGCGTGGTTAAATGCCTTTTTATGAGTGGTAACAACCACCTTCACTTTTTTCCCCTTTTTATTTGATGATCTAGAAAAAAAATTACAGAGTTTGTCTACCTGATAATAGCTGATGTTAAGGTGCTGTAAAACACAAGAGCATCAAAAGCACATTGCCATTAGTTGTGCTATGATACAAGATACATATCACAAGATGTAAATAGCCTTCTGTGCAAAATCTCATAAAAAAAAGAACTGCGTGTCTCTATTAATGCCAAAACAAAGCACTTCATTCACAGCATTTAATGTATTTGAAAAATTCCTGATGTGTATGGTAACAGTATATGTGTAATAAACTTGCTTAATTATTGAAACACTACTGTGTTCTCTTTTAGTTTTTATCATTTTCTATCTTATCATTATATATATATATATATATATATATATATACTAGCTATATTACTATATATCTTATTATTTATAGTTGTCCAATTAAGCCTTGATACTGTATAATACATCGATCATGAACATCAACTCTTTCTTTTGCTTAGATAAAATGAAGTGTTGATGATGGTCATCTGCCCAAAAATTGTTGCAAATGTGTATTGAGTTGGATATATAAATAGATCAATGTATAGTAATGGTTTAATAAGTCCTAGAAAGTAAAGGGAGTGCTTTAAACTGACGCATCTATGTTTGAGACTTTTATTTTGTAGTAAGAAAGGAAGAAGTTCTTGTACTAACCTGGTTGAGTAACTAAATACATGGAACAGCTCCAATCTCTGGTAAATAGTTTGAATGAGAGTATCTCCTTATCACATTTATAAGAACTATAGGTTTAACTGACTGCTAGCTCCTGATGACGCTTAAATTTGAATATGATCCACAGCTTCTGGTTTAGGCCAAAAGGCTATTTCAATAGATCGGTTAAGGATCTTGTCTAGTGGTTCCAAATCTGAAACACCTTTACTAAATATTATGGTTGGCTAAATTTTCTAACATGATGGGAACATTTTTGTGCGTTTATTGTTGAAAACAAAGAGCCAATTTTGTAAATGGAAACAAAAAAATAACAGGTTTTGTGAGTTAAAATTGGAAAAAAATGCAGTCCAAAAAAAAAAGTTTTTATCAAAAAAGTTTTTAATTAAGGCAATTTTGCTTTGTTTTTTCAGATTTTTTTGCTTTTAGTTCATTTTTTTTAATTTTTTTTCTCATATTTTATTTCTTCTTTTTAAATTTTTTTTCTCATATTTTATTTCTTCTTTTTAAACTTTTAATGTTTTATTTTTACAGCTTTATATTTTAGACTTTTATTTTCTCAAATATTTTGTACAGACTTAATATTTTAAATTTTCTGTATATTTTTGTTTAAATTATGTTTCACAGATCTCATTGTCTTTACTTCACTCTGGACGTGCACATTGACCAATATGATGTTGTTACTAACGTCCATGCAGACCAATAGAAATGCCTCTCTACTCATCACTACAGAAGAAAGCCCGCCCACAGAAGTAAAGAGAATGGGATCTGTGAAACACAACTTCAAAAGAATGCAATTCGTAAAACTCATCTATTTATTAACATGTTCTAGATTAAATGATCTAGAGCTGATAACATTCATTCTATGTCTCCTAAAACAGAGTAATTTTCTTTTAATTGAGTACCAAATTTGGAGTATTGATGGCCTACTAACTTTGGCACTATTAGTTAACTTTGCGAATGGCAATTCCATGATGGCTGAAAAAATCAATAATCATTACTCTTTTTCCTCAAAGTACTAGTTCTGCTCTCTTGACCTTGTTGCTCTATCTTCCATATAAACTGCTGATAACTAATTTTTTTCTTTAGCTGAAACATTTGGTATAATCCCTCACAGTTCACATCTAAATTGAAATAAGAAAGCAAAGAAATTGTTTTCTTGTTTTTCTTATGATTTTACTCAAGTCAGTGTGTTCCAGTGCAAATACAAGTCACTCAATAGCAGTAATGGTCACCCCCCCCCCCACAAACAATATTAGTAAACAGTATTTTCAGCTTATTTGTGCTCACATTTCATCCAAGAGCTTAGCATCATTTCACCTGTAGATCAAACATATATGGATGGTGCTTCAGACATTATCTATTTTTTCACAGTTCTGAAAGGGGAGGGGGTCAGGTTTAGTTTCAGACATGAGTAAGAATTCATTCATTTGCTTCATTTAGACACATAAGAAACATTACAACGGAAAAATAGGAACTGTTTCAGCTCTCTTTTATAACATTTGTGTTGCATGTCATAAATAAATAATTAAATAAATAAACAATAAAATAAAAATTGAAGTGTATACAAAAATAAATAATAAACCCACGCTTCCCTTTTTTTAAAACTTAAATGCATCGGTGCTTTTAGTATTTTTAAATCCAGTGTTTTATTTAAACCGAACAAAAGTGAAATAGATGTTCATGAGATGCCCCATAAAATGACTGGATTCTTTACAAGTTAACACCACTTAAACAAGAGAAACTGTGTTGTGATAAGTGCTCACTGAGCAGCTACATTTCTTGGAAAAGACACTGTAAAAAATAATTTTATTTTATTTTATATCCAATAAATTCAAACTGAATTATTTCTTATGGTTTTAAAAAAATCAAAGAGCTCTTCAGCTACTCTCCCTTAAAAATGATTCAGAGGTTGTCAAGCCCCAGGTAATGGACAATAAAAAAAACTTAAATTAAGAAAGTGCAGCTTAAAATCAAACGACACTGCTCTGTGCAAAGGCTGAAAATTCCGGAAACATTCAGATAAAGCAATTGTGTAAAAATCAAGGCAGACAGGATAAAAAAATAAGACACCAAATAAATAAAAAACAACATTAAGATGATAAAAAAAAAATCCCATACATCATCTGGGACCTATGTGGGTGTCCCCCCCCCCCCAGCCAAAAAACTAAACATTTCCTTTTGTCTCCTTCCAACAATTATAACTTCCATAGTAATTTCTCAATGTCTTTTACAGGATCATTAATAAATAAAAAAGTAAAAATTACAACTGAGGAGATTTCCTGTGGTTTCTGTAGTTGCAAACTTGGAAAAACATTGGAAAAACAAGCAGACTCATATCAAACAGCAGCAATTCTGTCTGTGGCTTACGAAGGGACCAGTGAGGAAGGGAACTTGGTGCAAAACAGGAACCCATCCACTGCCAGAGCACGAGTGGGAAACAGATGGAGCCGAGAGGCTCAAGTGGAGTTACTGTTTACTTTCTGACCATAAAAAATGTTTTACATTCATGAGAATTTTTAAAAGTGCACTTTAATGCACAATCCAAACGCAAGCTAGAGATAGGTGTGTAAAGCTTTGTGATAACATCAGAGATTTTCTGAAGAAAATAACAAGAATCTAGAGCTGATGATGGTTCTGAATTAATATCTTTCTTTAAAGCCAGACCTGGTTCAGATCTTTTTTTTTTAATGCAGATTTTGGTTACTATTTAGAAAAAATAATGAATAGAAGAAAGAAAAGACGTCATTGAAATTTTGTTCCAATGATGTAGATTGGAGAATGTGTACTATTTTGATTAAAACTAACATAGATTGGTGAGAGTTTTACAGCTAACAGCAGGTCCACCCTGTTCATGTGTTGGACTGAGTCAGGACCAGAACTCTGGATTATAAGGTGAGTCTTTGGGAAGGCTGCTGTCTGGTCTGCAAAGGGGGACTGTTCCATCCCGACTCTGACCCTCATCCCACTTATCCAACAGGTTTGCATTCCTGCTGGGAGTGAAGGGAGTTGGAGCCTCCATTGGAGTTGGCTGATCTGTGGAGTCTCTACCAAACTCTACAGTGGGCGGTGTCTCTGTACTGGAGGTGTAAGCGGGGGACTCGCCACTGCCCAGGGTGTGTCCATTGCCCCTAAGCCGAGAGTCTCCCCAGAACACATCGCACCGTGGCCGTGGTGAAGGGCGAGGCCGGGCCACAACGTCCAAGGTTTTAGGGCGTTCTGGAGCACAGCGACGGCGAGGGGTGGGGGGGAATACCACGTTGGGGTCAGGAAGCCGCGGAACCTCTTGATTTTCTTCTTTTAAACCCCTGAAGCCACCTGCTACAAATAAACAGGAAAAAGAAGCTGAGAATAATTACTGACCATGTATAAAGAAAAACTGATTTTGAGACATATCTCGTGACTTTATTACCTGCTTCAGCGTTAACATTATAAATGTGAAAAAGTAAACTTTTTATTTATGACATGTAATATATCAGAATATTTCCAGTTCAGAAAAACAATAAAATCAGGATATGAAGCCTTTACCTGTGTTCTCTAAAGCTTTCTTCTCTGGCAAAGTCTCCAGTGAGCTGGGAGGACCGTTCTTCTTGATGGCTCCATCTGATGGGGTTCTACGGAGCCCCCGAGAGGAAGGTGGGATACAGGGGACATGTGTGGGTGTTAGCGACTGGCGGGGGTTCCGCTTGAAGCTCTCCACGTGAATGTTGACTAGTGAATTCACTGGGGTCTGGACCGTCTTGCGCTGTGAGACCGGAGGTGGCACAGGAGGCCGGGATGATCCCGACGAAGGACGGCAGATCAACAGTTCGTCGCTGTCGGAGCGCAGCAATGAATGGGTGGAGTTAGAGTCAGAAATAGACGATAAGGACAGGAGCGTATATGAGGAGGGTAAACCTCGCTCAGGTAAGGAGGGGGCCAAAGTCTTCAATGGACTTTCCCTCTGGAACAGTCTGCGAGTCGGGGAGCTAGTGCTACGCCTTTGGCCAGCTGTTCTGTGAAAGAAACCCTCCCATCTGGATTTGATGCTCTCCTCAGGCTGGGCCAAAGTTAGCAGGTTGCATCCCAGTCCAACAGCTGCCAACAGAGCTCCACATCCCAGCAGGACCAGCTCAGAACGCCGACCTCCTACTGGACTCTTTCTGCATGGCGGGGTGCCGGGGGCCTGGCTGCGGAGGCAGTACTCATCCCCCTCAGTTTCAATGGAAGACGCTCCGTGGGTGTCTTTTTGGAAGGGAATGCAGAGGTAGGACTGACCAGGAGCTGCACCCGGCTCCGTAGTGAAGCAGCAGTCTTCATTTTCTGAAAAATAGCATCACAGAGGCATTGATATCCCTTAAACTGTGAAAAATCAAACATGTAACATTACATGTTGGGATTTTATGAGATTGTCCAACATTGCGTATTACATTATTCAGGAGCACAGAAGAAAAAAAAAAACATGTAACATTACATGTTGGGATTTTATGAGATTGTCCAACATTGCGTATTACATTATTCAGGAGCACAGAAGAAAAAAAAACATGTTTTTCAACATTTTTTTCAAAAAGAAATTTGAAACATGATGTACATATGTATTCACCGCTGCACTCTTGATTCAGAGTATTTTAGTAAGTTATTATTGGTAACCAATAAACTAAATAACCAGCGTAGTTGGAAAATCAACATCTGGCATACTTGAACCCGCCCCCCCCCCACTTACTACTATATTTCAAGGAAGCTTGTCATTACTCGTTCCTTTTGGCCCAGCTTAGCTGTTTACTCCTCTGTTCCTATATTTCTTTCTTGAATTGGCCACACTATGGCTATATTCAAACATCTGCCCTAATCACCATATAGTGATTACACCATTTTAAATGAGTGTCCGAATGTCTAGAGGATGAAACAGTAGTGGACTTAAAATTTCCTACGATCCACCTTGAAAAATAGTGATCATCCATGGTCACTAGATGAGCAGATATATCCCGGAATGCTTTGCGAGAGCTCTCCTCGCAAAGCATAATAGGATTTGTTGTCACAGCGGCTTGCTGTCTGTTGTGTGAGCGGCCACTATTTAGTGATCGGTTAGTGATTGACGGATTTAGGGGTTAGGGTGGATGTTTGCACACAGCCAAAGTTCAAAGTACATCCTTAAGAATAGGTATTCTGGATGTTCTAGTTGTCCGTCTCTCTTTTTTAACACACTTGGGCCAAATGGTAACTCATTAGCAGCCATATGCAGAACTTTGACATGCTAAGGAGGAAGTAGCTACCTCCAGGAAGAAGAACTAAAACATGTAAGATAGCAGCCCTTGAGGACTGATTTTGGGCATCACTCTTTTACAGATCTGCAAGAATCAGGGCAGATATAATTGTTAGCTGTGGCGTTAGTTGTTGCAATGTGGCCAAGTTCAGTAGGATGAGTTCTCAAAGCAAGCTGTAGTTTCTTTATGGTAATAGATTCAATCGTAAACCTTTAGTCAAAGTGTGAGGAGAATCAAGACTCTCCTGTTTTCTTTTTGGTGTGTTTTTAAATAAAAATAATAATCAAATCATTTGTCCTTTTTTTTTGTTGCCCCATCTAAAATGGTCGAGCTCACCTGTCTCCAGTAGGCTTGGTACTCCAGGCACTGCTGGACTGTGCCTTGGGGATCTGCGGAGGTTCGGAGCGCTGCAGGACCGCTGCCTGCTGCCCTCATGGGGAGGTTTCACACTGAAGAATGAGGAAATCTTTTTTTTTCACAGCTTTTTTTTTTTATTTCATCATTATAACTCAGCCATTGGGTTATCAAATAAAACACACATTTTATATTTCCACACAGACCATATTAAACTGACTTTAAAATCTCTCACCATGCATCTGCACTGTGCTCCCTGTATATTCCATTCCCACGGGAACGACCCTTCTTCCTTGACCCCTTTCTCTCGATCTCTGTGCGGTCCTTTCCTGGAGTAACTGAAACATGGATCTTTTCTAAATATATGTTCAGAGATCATTAAAAAGCCAAATAAAACTGTGAGTCAAGAAAAAAACAAAACAAAATATGCTTAAAAAATGAGACTTGTGCCTACGCTGGATGGCTCGAAGGCGAGGCAGCATGAGTGGGCTGGTTGGCGGGCTGGAACCACTGCTGAGGAGATTCCTTCGATGATCATGGGATGGAGATGCCAACACTGTGATTTTGTGCTGAAAATCTATAAGGTAATCAATGGAAAAAAGCCTTAGCTGGTTGCCAGAATATGATTGTGAAGAAAGGTGAAAAGTTCAAGCAGTATGAATTCTTTTAAAGACACTAAAACTGTGTAATCAGGTCTAAACACTTCTGTATTAGCAACATTTCAAATATCACTTTTAGCTTTTGTATAAGAAATAGTGCATTAATTAAAGAGTGTGTTTAATTAATGCACTATGCACATCTACCTAAAAATACAATCTCCATAGCACAACATAGCAGTAGCATTATTATGCTGTGGGGAAACTTCTCGTTTGGTAAAACACAATTTAAAACACACTGAAGTTAGTAGATGAAACATGAAAAAACTTATAATCCACTTCTATTTCATGTAATCCTTTTAAAAAAACAACATCTATTTTTGCAGGTGTTTGTTTTTATTTATTTATTTTATTTTTTTCGTTTCCTTTGTACATTGGTGGTTGACAGCCATTCATACCTGAGGGTAGGCTGATCCTGTTCCCATCTTTAAGTTTAAGGCGGTTGCGGCGGAACTTGCCCTGCCTGCTCTCCACATGTGGCTTCTCCTGGTAGAGCTGATGGATGATGATGTTTAGCTCCCGCTCAACAATGTGAATCTCTCTTTCCGCGAGCTCCTGCTCGCGCTTCCTTAATGCCTCCTCTTGGCACTTCTGCTGCAGGGCGGCTTGAGTAAGCTCTTCCTCCCATGATCGCAGCTCCTGATAGATGCCAGACGAGGAGGGAATTCAAAATATGTTAATTCTATTAATCACACCAGGATTAGAGATATAGTCAGTTTATCAGCTATGGATTTTATTTGTGAAAACTTTATCATATCAAAATCCAATAGCCTGCTCTATTAGGTCCCACAAGGCTCTGCCCTGGGACCTATTCTTATTTCTAATATACACTATATTGCCAAAAGTATTTGCTCACCCATCCAAATTATTGGAATCAGGTGTTCCAATCAATTCCATGGCCACAGGTGTATAAATTCAAGCACCTAGGCATGCAGACTGTTTTTACAAACATTTGTGAAAGAATGGGTCGCTCTCAGGAGCTCAGTGAATTCCAGCGTGGAACTGTGATAGGATGCCACCTGTGCAACAAATCCAGTCGTGAAATTTCCTCGCTCCTAAATATTCCACAGTCAACTGTCAGCTGTATTATAAGAAAATGGAAGTGTTTGGGAACGACAGCAACTCAGCCACGAAGTGGTAGGCCACGTAAACTGACGGAGCGGGGTCAGCGGATGCTGACGCGCATAGTGCGAAGAGGTCGCCAACTTTCTGCAGAGTCAATCACTACAGACCTCCAAACTTCATGTGGCCTTCAGATTAGCTCAAGAACAGTGCGCAGAGAGCTTCATGGAATGGGTTTCCATGGTCGAGCAGCTGCATCCAAGCCATACATCACCAAGTGCAATGCAAAGCGTCGGATGCGGTGGTGTAAAGCACGCCGCCACTGGACTCTAGAGCAGTGGAGACGCGTTCTCTGGAGTGACGAATCGCGCTTCTCCATCTGGCAATCTGATGGACGGGTCTGGGTTTGGCGGTTGCCAGGAGAACGGTACTTGTCTGACTGCATTGTGCCAAGTGTAAAGTTTGGTGGAGGGGGGATTATGGTGTGAGGTTGTTTTTCAGGAGCTGGGCTTGGCCCCTTAGTTCCAGTGAAAGGAACTCTGAATGCTTCAGCATACCAAGACATTTTGGACAATTCCATGCTCCCAACTTTGTGGGAACAGTTTGGAGCTGGCCCCTTCCTCTTCCAACATGACTGTGCACCAGTGCACAAAGCAAGGTCCATAAAGACATGGATGACAGAGTCTGGTGTGGATGAACTTGACTGGCCTGCACAGAGTCCTGACCTCAACCCGATAGAACACCTTTGGGATGAATTAGAGCGGAGACTGAGAGCCAGGCCTTCTCGTCCAACATCAGTGTGCGACCTCACAAATGCGCTTCTGGAAGAATGGTCAAAAATTCCCATAAACACACTCCTAAACCTTGTGGACAGCCTTCCCAGAAGAGTTGAAGCTGTTCTAGCTGCAAAGGGTGGACCGACGTCATATTGAACCCTATGGATTAGGAACGGGATGTCACTTAAGCTCATATGTGAGTCAAGGCAGGTGAGCAAATACTTTTGGCAATATAGTGTATTTCACCCCTGGGCAAAATAATCAGGCAGACTTTTGATTTATTTTATGTCTATGCTGATGATATGTAGCTGTACTGATTTGAAAAGTCTGATTTGAAAGTCACCTACAAGTTCACCTGCACCTACAGGCAGGTGAACTTTGATTAGACAGATAACCTAGTTATTAGATATACTCAGAACAAACAACTGAAACCTAGCAATATGTTGCTGGACTAATCTATCCAACCTAACAGTTCTTTTTTCTTTTGATTATGCATGTCATTGTATATTCATATTTGTGGATCCAATAGAAACAGATGATCATAAAGGCTTTTCAGTTATTATATACATATGTATTCAGTTTTTATATAAGATGGATCATGTTGGGACATAATGCTGCTGCATTACTAACCACCACACAAGACTTCTCAAGTATTAACCACTTTCTATTGGCTATTGGCTCCTTCCCAAAGCTTTTATTGATTCCAAAAACATATTTTAATATTAGAGGGGACTAATTCCTTAAGGGCTGAAACCTCTGGATTGTTGAAAGCCTTGCCTCCATCATCCTGATTCCTTTGATTCTTTAAATAAACATCTGGAGACTCATTTATTCAAATTGGCTTTTAACTATTGTTGAGCTGCATGATGTTTTATTTCCATTTTTTTCCCCTTTTATGTCAAATCGACAGTGTTTTGACCTGTTTTTAGTTTGACCCATGAATAGAATTTTAGAAATGGCATAGAAGTTTTTTTTTTTATCTATCTCTACAATCTTCACCTTCTCCTTGGTCCGAAGCTGATCGAACATTTCCTGTATCTCCAATTTCCAGTCATTCTGCAGGGAATGGAAGGACTCTGCAGGCATTTCAAAAAAGCCAGATTCTTCAATAGCAGTGAGCTGGTCCAGGATGGTTGTGAACAGTGGCCGCGAGTGAGGATCTGGGCTCCAGCAATCTGGGGCAAAAAGATAGACAAAAAGAACAATTTAGAATATACAGGATTAATAAGTCAACAGTTGGTGAAACAAAGTATTCTGATTGCTTTATTTCATGCTTTTAAAATGCACTTCAGGGGCCACTACTGGATAGTTAGAAAGTATTTTTTTTTCTCCACTTACTCTCCATTATACGTGCAAAAGGCTCAGGGCAAGTGGAGGGAATGGGCAAAGCCAGTTTGTTCATTGCCACTCCATAGGCTACAGCAAGAGCATCAATATTTCGAAAAGGAACCTCTCCGGTCAGCAGCTCCCATAACAGCACGCCATAACTGAAATCAAAGGAGAAGAAAAAACATAGGCAATCAGTACACCTACACATGCACAGATAATTTTTAAATGCTATGAAAATTGTAGTTATATAATATGTTGCTGGGGGAAAGGGCTTTAATCAGTATATCTGGTATTCTAATAGTATCGATCCAATAAATGTCAAAATAGGATCGGATGGGCAATATTCTGCACCCTACTCCTGTTAATACCAAAGGTCAGGATTAAATATGTTAAGATCTGAGAACATACAAAGCAGTGCATTTTCTTTACAGTTAAAATAGCTTACTATCTCATCAAACATATTTGCAAGAAATGAAAAATCAGCACTTATTGAGTCAAAAACATGAACGCCCTGCTAATAAAACATATTTAAATGCTCTCAATTATTAATAGTGGTACATTTCACACATAGAAAATTGGGTGACCATTTAGTAGAAGAGTTACAGTAGAAGTATTAGCAAACCTACACCCAAACCTATTTGATGTAAGCTATAAGACTTGAAACAGATTAAAATAGGTTATTTAAAACAAAAAGAAGAAAAATAAAAAACATCCATCACATTAAACTTTGACCAAGAAATATTTATCTTTTAAGTCTTGATATAAAAAGCAAAGATGCATAAGAATAAGAACAGAACAATCACTGGAACCCCCTACCATTTAATATCCATTGGTCTCATGCCCTACAAGCACACTTTCCCCAGCAATAAACATGGTGGTGGCTGCATCATGCTGGAGGATTACTCTGTTTTTAGGTAATCTATTTGAACTTCTAATTTAGTAGTTATCCATTTGTTATTTTTTTATAAAGAATTAGACAACACTTGGTCAGAGTAAGAGGTGTGATCACATTAGTAGTTATACAACAACATCAGCAGGACTGTACCTAAAAACATTAAAGATATATTTGTAGTTGCAAGTGTTGGGGGAAAAAAAGTCATTTTGGAGAGGTTACTCTTTAGACAGATGGAAGCTGCACTTAAAAGGATACAGTAGATAATAGGTGCACTGACTAAAGGAATGGCCTATTACAGTTTATTCTCTTATAATCTTATCACAACCCTTCTCTAAATGCTTGCATCATAAGGTATAAAATACACATTTACCTTTTGTTTGAGTCAAATTAGAAACTGTAAAGTTTAGGGTATTAAAAGAGTGGTCCATGAACTATTAGGCCACATTCATACTGCTGGTCTAAATTCTGAATTCAGATTTTTTTTTTTTATCTGATTTATTTACATAGTCATTTACATTTCTAAATATATGGAACCTGTATGTGATCTCCTGTGTAAACTGCTTTCACACAACCGAAGTTTCCTGCATGCACAATAGAGGACACAATATCACAAGCGAGCGTACTCTGTGATTACTGAAGTATACATCGATGGAATTGCTGGAGCACATCTTGCAATCTTTCATTTCTCTCCCATCCTCAGCCAGTGCATTAACAAAAAAATATTTTCCAAAGGTTGAAAATACAACTGCTTTCCTTGTGATTGTCCACCGTGGTTGTTGTTTTTCTTCCCGCATCTGCATAGCAGGAAGCTGAATATTGACCTATTTTGAGTATTAATGGCATACAAATCAGATGAATGTGACCTGGCCATTCAGAGCAGGTCACCTTTGAAAAAAATCAAATATGTATCTGAATTAGGACCACAAAACCAAGTGGCTTGGTCGCATTTGAAACGATCGGTTTAACCACAAAAATGTAAAAAATATGTAAAATTTATAATGTTTGTCTTTTCAACCTTCGCAAATGTGAGAATTTATTTTTAACTAAAATAATACATTTTATTTGTCTCATTAGAATATTGCATTTTTTTTAAATATATGTTTATTAGAAAATTGCATGTTTTTGATACCTCTGGTATAAAAGGGCTTTAGAATAGTAAGGCTAAAGTAGAAAAGTGTACTGTGTATACATGTGTAATAAGGTCAAATGTAATTTTAGAAGTGTGAATTCAAAATATAATTTCAGATTCTTTTTTTCAGTGTTTACTGTTCATTATTAAAAGCTCTCTGCAGCTTGTTTCTCTGCAGAGCTGCCCCTTCCTCCGCCCACCTCCACACGTCGCTACCCTTGGAGAACGTGGATGAGCGGATGACCTCAGGAGCCATCCAGGCGTAGGTCCCAGCCGCGCTCATCTTGGTGGTGCGGTGCCACTCCCGAGCCAACCCAAAGTCGGTTATCTTCAGAGTCTTGTTGCTGAGGTCCTCCATATCCACCCTCTCAAGGATCAGGACTGAGGCAACAATGAAGCAATGTAGGGGTGGGGGTTTGAGTTGGAGAAATGGGGTGAGGTTGGAGGTTGTGGGAAGGAGGGGATGCGTGCAGATTGGTGGAAGGGGAGGCAGATAAGGTGGAAGGTTTCAGGCGATGACCAATCAGATTTTCAGATGTTGGGAGAGGGGGCGGCATGAGTCCCATGATTCAGCACAATGCAAGTGGAAACGCAAAAGAAAAAAGAGGGGCAAACAAAAAGGGTGTGGTTGGTGGGAGGCCAGGATGAAAGGATTAGAAGAATAAAAGAAGAGAAGAGAAGAAGAAAGAGTAAAAAACAAGCAACTATAAGCTAAAACAACAAAGCAGTCAATGCAGAGTTGAAAACCATCCCCTTGATCAATGCTAATATATTCAGCTCTGGCTTTTACAGCCTGAACTCTCACACAAAACGGCAATTGTACAGTTTGCTGTATAGGCAGTGGAAAGCAACCCCCTATTCCTGGTGTGATCAGCTAAAGCATGGCTCCTTCTAAACACATGCTTGCAGGTCTCTTCTTGGATGAAAAAAGCCAGGCCATTTGCTCTGGCTGCCCCAAATGGAGACTGGAGCATGAGGGCATCAAGCACCTCTTCATCTAGTGATCATGTGGCTGTGATGCTGTATTTGGGGTTTTCTGGGTTGTTGTATTTAGGCCTCACTTTTAAATGTTTTGATCTTGTTTAATCCGATATTGAGATCTCTACTTTTGGAGATTTATCTGTGTATTTTCCTAAACAATCTAGAAACTTAAATTTTTGGTTAATTGTTTTTTTTAAACTGCCCTTAGGCATGAGTGAGTGTTTGTGGACTGTGTGTTTCTGTGTCATGTGTGTATGCTTGGCAGCCTTTCCTGCATTGTTCCAACACATGAACTAAGATAGATGGATAGATAGATAGAAAAAGAATAAAGGTATGGACAGAAAGAAAGACAGACAGACAGAGAAGCGGGAGCTCTCGGGGTATACCCTGCCTCTTGCCTGTTGAGGGTTCATAACAAACTCATTCTCCAATGGTTCATATGAGAGATTTAGGAGAAAATGCTGCATTTACCTTTTTTCTTCTATCTATAATTTTTTCTCAGGCACAAACATATTTTACGAATGCTCCAGACTTGATGTAGGAGTGCACCAGAGTGTCATCCATACCTATTTTTTCACTAAATTACTACATTTATTGTACTTGTCATGGGTTTTTTCATTCGTTTCATTTCCATTTTATGTTTATCTAGTCGTTCTGGTTGTATTCTTTTAGTTCTTATGTATTTCTTGTTTACCCTCTGTTGCCCCCTTGTGTCAGTCTCCTTCGCCTAGCTCCCCTTCTAGATGCCTCCATCCAGACCTGCTTCTTGAGAGCTCATTAGCCCAGTCTTTGTTCTCTCTCTCATATATACCCTCCCTGTGGAGTTCCTCAGTGCTGGTTTCTCATTTATTCTTGATCCTCATGTGTGTTTTCCCTGACGTCTTCTGGTTTTTGGTTTTCTGTATTTTGTTATTTTTGGATTTTTGTGTCAGTTGTCAGCTCTTTGAATGATTACATCTGCAAGAAACACTTCAGCTTCAGTCTCTGCATTTGGGTCCTCCAAAATCTCCACTCAACCTGACAGGACTTAAAGGAATTTTTTATTTTATTAGGCTACATTATTGTGTATTATGCAACTCTGTATTTTTTAAATGACATTTTTATTCGTTGATGAACCTCCTGCCACTAAAGGGTGGCACTGCTGTTATTGGTGAGACGTATCATGTTCACTTCCTGTTTTTACTGCTGAGCTGCATGGCTGCTCAGGGTATCTTTTTTTCTGTGATATCTCTGTATCTAAGTAATTCTAACTGTCCTCTCCTCTCTCCATGTCAGATTTTCAGTTATTCCTCTGCCTCCTTTAGAGATAATGGTATGTGTAATAAGTGTAGAATTTTTTTTTTAGCTTTGGAGGCGGGGATGTCAGAGTTAGAATCCAGGCTTCAGGCTGTTGAACATCCAGGGGTTAAAGTAGGCCCCCCACGTAGTTGTCCTTCAAAAGTGCTAGAGCAGCCAGGTATTGGGTAAAGGTAAGCAGAAAGCAAAGTCGTGGATCTCTGCCCACAGGTCACCACCAACCCATCCACGTTTCTAATCGATTTTCCCCGCTCAGTGATGCACCCACTGAGAAGCTAACTCTGGTAATTGGCAGCTCTATAATCAGAAATGTGGCATTAGAGACACCAGGGACCATAATCAAATGTTTGCCGGGGACCAGAATGGGCTACATCAAATCCTACCTGAAACTTCTGGCTAACGATAAGGTTAACTACAGTGAGATTTTTATTCTAGCTGGATGTAATGACACCCGGTTATCGGAGGTCACTATAATTAGTGTTGCTTCAGCGTGTAAGTTTGCCAAAACAATGTTGGACTCCGTAATTCTGCTCATCTCCCTGATCTGACCAGCGATGACATGTTTAGCTGCATGTCGTCACTCAACTGCTGGTTGTCTAGGTGGGCTACATTAATAATTGGCAATCCTTTTGGGGAAAGCCTGATCTGATTCGGAGAGACAGCATCCATCCCACTTTGGATGGTGCAGCTCTTCTTTCTAGGAACCTGGCCAGATTTGTTGGTCCTCCAAAACCCTGACAACCCAGGGTGCAGACCCCGAAGCCACGAGTCGTAGTTAGCTCTGCAGCTTCTCTACTGTTGCCCACTCATTATTCTATCCAGGTAGTCTTGCTCACGACCAAAATCTAATAAATTAGAAAAGATTCCCAAAGGAGTAAATCATAATAATCTAATAAAAATAAAAATATCTGAGATTGGGGAAAAAGATAAAACGATTAAATGTGGTTTATTTAATCTAACATAAGATATTTCTTCAAAAAGTCTGCTAGTTAATGACTTGATTTGTATTAATTACATTGATTTATGTTGCCTTACAGAAACTTGGCTGCAGCAAGAGGATTGTGTGAGCATAAATGAGGCAACTCCTTATAGTTACATTTTCACATACCCAGAAATTCTGGGCAAAGAGGAGGAGTAGCAACAATCTTTCAGTCTGACTTACTGATTATTACTCCAAAGGCAGTTCATTTGTAAAACTCTTTTGAACATTTAACCCTTAGTTTCCCTCATCCAAATGTTAAATCTAAAATACAATTGAAAATCCTCCTTCTCACATATAAAGCCTTAAATGACCAAGCTCCATCATATCAGAGATCTGATTGTTCCTTATGTTCCTAACAGAGCACTTCGCTCTCAATCTGCAGGTTTACTAGTGGTTCCTAGAATTTCTAAAAGTAAATGGGGGGCAGATCTGTTAGCTATCAGGCGCCTCTCCTGTGGAACCAACTACCAGTTTTAGTCCGTGAGGCAGACACCCTGTCTACTTTAAAGGGTTGGCTTAAAACTTTCCTTTTTGATAAAACTTATAGTTAGAGTGACTAAGGTTATCCTGAGCTATCTCTATAGTTATGCTGCTATAGGCTTAGACTTCTGGAGGACATAGGGACCCCTATTTCATCATTCTGCTTCATTCTATCTCTATTCTCCGACTGCAGAATCTGTTAGTTTAATATTTAACGTCATGCTCTCTCTGCTTTTTCTCATAATAGCTTTGCCTTGTCTGTTCCTGTTTGGCTGTGACACCAATTGGAGAGAAATATTAGCTGTGCTGCTTCCATCAACACCTTTATTTATAGATGTTGGAGATCAGCCTTTTTTTCAAATGTAGTCCTGTTTCTCTGACTCAGACTGGCTGGATGTACTGTCTGGATGAGCTCGTCTGCCAGGCTGTGTGTTTCCTGGAATGGGGCCGTTTTTTTTACAGTTTTCTTTTGTATCTCTGCTTCTTTCTGTATGACTGCCTCTATCTCCTTGAACCCCAGTCTGCCTTGGCAGATGGCTGCTCACACTGAGCCTGGTTCAGCTGGAGGTTTCTTCCTGTTAAAAGGGATTTTTTTTCCTCTCCACTGTCACTACAAGCATGCTTAGTGTGAGGGATTGCATTCGAGTCAATGAGTCGATGCAATCAACTGGTGTGGTGAACTGTAAAGTGCCTTAAGGCGACGTGTTGTGAATTGGAGCTATATAAATAAAGTGAAATTAATTTAATTAAATTGAGCTACACCTGCAGCTGGCATGTTATTATCCAGGGAATACTGGTTTTATTTGTTGTCATTTAGTCACAAGAAATAACTTCTATGTAAGATCGAGCTACTATTAAAGTAATATCTTGAACAGACAATGGATAGAAAGTTCAGAAGAGTTCTAATGGTAAGGCACTAACTTCCCTCCATTGCAACTCCTCAGATTTTTATTACACAATATGTGGAATGACAGATGTGGTCTGGAGATAAACAGTACAGGTGTGTGTGTGTATTAAAAGAAAATTAAGCTGACTATTGTGATGTGTTGGTTGATGGCGAACACATATCAAGCATTTACATAATCTGTTTCACTTCTTGCCTCCAACAGTAGTTTTCATTGACTGTCATGCTTTTGCTAGACATGCTTTGACACCATTTTCAAATCAAATATTTTTTAAATTTTTACTTCTGTAACAGTACAACTACGTCATTTAAAGCTCTTGTGATTTATTCCACTGCTCGGTTTTTACTGGTTCTTTAATTCTGCTGCTCAGCTCTCAGTCAGCAGAACCTCAATCTCTTTTTAAGACTTTTCAAAGATTTAAGAACTCATAGATCATAGAGCAGACTGACAGAAGCAATGCAAATGGCTAGTTTCTTAATCCAGTCAGCAGAATGAAAGGGGTTCATTACCTGAAAGTGTAACATTTCTTTAAGCTTGTTCAGCATGTATTTTTTATATCATTAAAATTATTCACCCATAAATTAATCTGTGGAATTAATGGCTTTAACATTTTTGTATGTATGGATTACCTGGCTTAATAGGTTGGAATACAAACAACTTTACATAAAATTGAGAGTAATTTAGACCCTAGAACAGCTGAACAAATTGAACTGATTCAACTAATACCCATTTAAGACACAGCTAAGAACTACATGCAGTTTCTAACTGGTTTTGCCAATATTCATTAAGTGAGTGAATCCAACTGGTTCAGGCCAGCTTGGAACATGTTTCTATTGATCATATAGGGGCCACAGAGGACCAACATGCTGCTTCCCATGAAGATAGGAAGAGGAATGGTGTTGTTGATTTTAATAAAATAATAAATTGACTAAAGAACAGAATTTAAAAAAGGGAAGGCAGTGATGACTGACAACCAACTGAATGCTTTAATAATGGAGAAAAATGGGGCAAGCAATAGGCAAAATGAGGAGAAACAGGTGAACATAATCTACTGATTAGATGATTGCTCTGGCTGAGGGAAAATGAAAACTGAGTCGAAAAGGGAGAAACACAGGGAGAACCAAACAACCTATCCAATAAATAGGAAAGAATAACTAGGAAAGCAACAGCATGACTGGTAATGGGAAATCAACAGAAATATGCATAATAAGCATAAAGAACAAATATGGAAACCCCTAAATGTAAAAAAATACCAGCATTTGGTAAACATATATAAAATGATAAAACAGAGAAAGTGATCAAAACCATGAACACAAAATAAAAACCATAACGTTAGAGCCAACATGACAGTCTGGGGCAGTCACCCTAATATTTAAATAAACCAAGGATCCCTCACGAGTTTTTTCCCAGGCCTGGTCCTAAAAAAGCATTTAGAACCTAAAAGTAATTCCTAAGGCATGGCAGACCTAAAAGGAAAAGGAAAACAATGAAAGAGGTAAGCCTGACCGCCTACTTCCATGAGGTCAGTAAGGTTTGGGGCTTTCCCCACAAAGGTCAGATATGACATTAAGGCAGAGTAACTTTGGAAGTGAAGCTGCTGAGTTGATCACCATAGAATCAACCAATTACAGCTAGGAGCCTTGTTTTACTCGTTGCATGAGCAACCAATGTGGAGGCTGGGGCAGGGCACTGGGTAATTCCTCAGTAATAGGCTTGAGACTTAGACAATCCAACTGGGCAAAATGCAAGATTACATCAACTCCACATGTAAGCATGCAACGCCTTTTTCCTGCTGATTTGAGTTCTGAGACACATACCTCATAAAACCATCCTCAAGCAAAACAATAATATTAAAAGCATTATTGTGTCATTTTTTTAGATTTATATTGTACTTTCAAAGTACATTATTAGAATTGTTTTACTTTCAAATGATGAGGATACAGACCAGAGAGAAAATTAAGATATAACTGCCTGATGCTTTATAGATGTTTCTTTAATCATTTATTCTATAATAATAAAAATACAGAGTAGTGTCTAAACAAAAAAAATAATTGGTTATTTTCACTGTTCCCATGCATTTCTTCAAACATTTTAACAAAGAGACTTTAATGAAAGCACAAAATGATAGAAATCTTACTGTTGCTGGACTTGAGGTCCCTGTGTATAATGGGGACGATAGCCTGGTCATGGAGGTAATGCATTCCTTGTGCAATCTGCACAGCCCAGTTTACCAACGTACAAGGGGGGATGCGTTTCCCAGCAAGAGCTCGGTTCAAAGGCCCTCCTCTAGCATACTCCATGATCAGGCACAGGTTGGGCTCCTGCAGGCATACCCCCAGAAGGCCCATGATGTTTGGATGATTGAGCATGGCAAAGAGCTTTGCTTCCTGTCGCACGCTCTCCAGAGTCTGCGCCGCATCCTCATCGGGGTCCCGTCGGGCTGCCTTCACGGCCACCTCAGAACCCCGCCACACCGCACGGTAGACTTTTCCAAAACCACCGACTCCGATGATCTCCTCAAGGGTGAGCTCCGAGAAATCGATCTCCAAGACTGCTTTGCAGAAAAGACAGATACGACACTGATTTATGTTGGGAAAACAAGTCAGTCATGAGCATCTGATATGCTAGCTTATCCTGAAAACTATCTGGAAACATACAATCTAGACCTGAAGAGGGAATATTGAAAAAAAAAAAACTTTATAGTTTTTGGAACAAATTAAATTCAAGTTTACACCTAAGCAGATTGGCTTGTCAATTTAAAATTTCAGTAATGATTGATTTAGAATGACTCTATTTTGGTTAAAAAGAAAAAAAAAACTCACAATGCATTGATAAAAAGTGACATGTATAGAAAAGAGTAAAGCAATTTCAAAAAACATATGTTGCGGAAAAAAACTGAAAAACAACCTTTCAAAACCAAAGAATGTATGTTAAAATTGTATTGATTAAATTACGCCAATAATTGGTGCACAAGGGTAACCAGCAAGAGCCAAGGTCTAAAATTACATTTGTGTTGTAATTTACTTAGTGAAAATAAAGTAAAAATATATACAAATAATCGGTGCAAAAGGCAGCCGTGGATTTTATTTTTTTCCATAAGAAGAAAAACAAAAACGCATCCGTTTCAATATTTTGTGTTTTCAGCATTTTAATTTTAACCCTTAAAAGGTATGGCTGTTTACTCTAATTTCAACCCTTCTCAAAATGTATTTTTCCCCCAACATTTATAATTAAATGAGAAACAAATGGACTTTAACATTTATCATCTGTTCAACATTATCTTTAATGCAGTTTTTTTTTTAAACATTCAATACATTTTAGGTGTTGAATGAGCTGTGGTTGAAACTGCTTCTGTGTTGGAGCAACAGTTTACATCTTTGTCCAGAAAATCTTTGTCCAACTTTACCCACATTGTAATGCCAAAATCAAAATAGCAGGCTGAACTGATAAAGTCAATGCTAAAATGCAAAATATCTTAGCTATAAGTTTAAATCCCACAAATATAGATATTTTCCAATTAGTTTATTATTTCAGAAACATTCAGTGGCTTAGTATAACTCAGCTCTAATATAGTTGTTTATTCTGACATACAGTAAATACAAACCAGACAAGTAAATGTTTTTGCTTTCATCAAAAACATCACTTAAATATCATTACACATGTATTTCAGCTTAGATTAAAGTACAAAGTGTAATGAAAGCTTTCCTCTATATCAAGAGCTGATGCCGCCTTATAAGACTGACCTTGATGAATATTTCAGGTGTGTAAAAGTAGGCCACCTGTCTCCAAGTGAATAACTGGCTGAGATAGAGTGATCCACCCAAACAGAATATGTTCATCTAGATCTCATTTATTTTGAAATGTTTATGCTGACATAGCATGTGAACGTGCCAATGAGTAAAAATTGCCTCAGCACCTTTAATATATTTTTAGCAAGCATGTGTTCCAAAATGTTCAAAAGACTGTTAGATTGGGATGCTAAAAAACTCAGGACTGGTATAGGGCTTCTGTTAGATTTAGGAAAACAGGGGATGGGATATCTGTCTGGTTATGATCAATCACAAATTATGAAAGTTTTTTTTTTTTTTTTTTTTTTTGCATTCAGCACCAAGAGCAGGGGAAAGCAATGACTGGCCATTGTCTGCCAATTGTTCAATTGCACATGTATTGCAAAACCACCATGGCTATGCAAAACAATTACACTGTAAACCAACCGAATATTGCATGTAAAGAATGATCTCTTGGGTTTTCCAGGGGATGCTACTGAGGGGGGATGCTTTGAATAATGGTCCTGAAGCTGAGGATGCTTACCCAGCCTGTTTCTAGGCCAACCGGAGTGACACAGCACTCTCAGTGTTAGCTTCCTCCTCCTACTGCCAGATAATAAATAACAAAAAAACACTCTACCTATGATCTGTGTTTTAGATGCACAGTGGTTCACTTTCTGAATGATTGACATTAGGACACTCACGGTGCAGAGGAGGCACTGGGTGCTCCGAGCTGTCCCGCAGGCCTGCCTCTTCCTCTGTCCTGTTCCTTTTGCTGACATAATTGGAAGGAAAAATGCCAACCCGGTCTGCTATCATGCCGGTCCACCAGCCCTCGTCTCCTGACACCAAGGAGTCCTTGGACAGGACCTCCACCAGGTCCCCCCTGCGCAGGCTGAGCTCATCGTCCGCAGTGGCCTCATAGTCGAACACGGCTGTCCAGACGCCTGGCGGAGGCGCGGCGCGCTCCTCATCCTGCGCCGGCTCGATTTCCGCTGTGCTGGACCAGCGAAAGGCATCCGACTCTGCTTCTTCAGATAATGACGCCCTGGGACTCAAACTGTTCTCCAAAGCTGGTTTGAAGACATCCATGGACGCGATCCATAGGGGCGAATAGGACCACTGCAGTGCATCAACCTCTGAGCGCCCTGCGGCCGCACACTGACTGAGTAGCACCTAATCTCACAGAAAAACACTGGAAATGACTAGAGCTCTATGCTGCTACTGCAGTATTGTCCCCATTGGAGCCCCTGCTGGACCCCATAAAGCGCATCTCTGCTGCAGCTTGATGGTTCCTCAGCCTCAATTCCGCATCCAATCATCGCTGGGACTTCCCGGACGCAGTGGTATTTTTGATCCAAACCAACCGTCCAACGTGTAAATATTCTCTGTCATCCTATTGGTGCATGGATACGTCAGCAGTTGTTTGGGTCCAACCCATCCCCCCACCCTCCTCCTCTCAACACAGGCCGGCTCAGTGGCGCTTCTTCCATGAATGGTGCCCTGGGCAAGCCCCTCCAATCAAATACACATGACCTCTCCAAAATGGAGGACCAACTCTGCCATATTTACATTATGACATCATGTGGGAATGATTTATCAGTTAATCTTAGAAACAGTTGAGTACTATGTAAGTCAATTTAAAACTCGAACTTTGATAACTTACAAGTTTTGCTCTGGAATATGGAGGACCAACTCTGCCATATTTAAAAATAAATACAGAAATAAGTAAATGCTCTATAAATAAATAAGAATTCAATTAATTGCCCCCAAAAATACAATAAAAAATAAATGTGGGTAGAAATTTAATTAGCTTCTTTATTCATTCGCCTTTTGCAATAATTACCTTATTCATTTATTGTCCATTATAATCTTCAACTTTATTTATATATTAATTATTTTTTTAAGAAGTAATTTATGTGCATGATATGATAGTTTTGTTTGTTTTATTCTTCCTTTGTATTTTTTTACCCTCTTTATTTCTTCAACACTATTTATTTCTGCCTGTCGTATTTACATTTTTGTATGCATTTCTGCCTCATTATGTAAATGAGGCAAGATAATTAAAAAATAAATATACTTTTTATGTCTTACCACATAATTTAATATCTACCTACATTTATTTGTTTATTTTATTTTGGGGGGAAATTAAATGTATGCTGATTTATTTATTGAGCATTTATTTATTTCTGTATTTATTTTTGAATATGCAGAATTGGTCCTCCATACTCCAAGGGCAAAACTTGCTTGAAAAAAAAAAGTAACTCTGTAATCAAACTTTGAGTTTTAATTTAACTTACATAGTACTTTTTTTGCAAATATTTTTTTTAGATCAAATAAGAAGTCCAAATATTGTCCATTTTTGTGCACCCTGGAACCCAGCAATAAGCTTGGTGACACCAGGGGCCATGTGAAAGGTGCAGTGCAGTCTCAGGGTGGCTGCTCACTGCCACCCTGATTATTGAGATATTGTTTTGCAACCTTAATATGCTTTAAGCTTTACAACTTTCTCTTTGACTTCTCTTCTGTGTTCCTTGGTCTCTGATTATGTTACTTGGCCAATATTCTATAACAAACCAAGTAATAAAACTCCTGAATATAACTGCTTGAAAGGTAGAAATCCATGTCTCTTTTTCTTGTTTCTTTGTGTTACAGATGACTTTATTCATATGAGCTGCAGTTCCACAGGAAAGTTAAAAGTTTTAATCCCTCTTAATGTAAGGAAGAATGAAAATGTTCATTAAATTAATACTTGGTTCTATTAATGCAATCAGGGAGTACCCATTTTCGACCTCAATCAGGTAGCAGAAAAAAACAACTAATATATTATTGTGAAGGGTGTTCTAACTTAATCTAAGTAGAAAACAGTAGTCTGGCTGTATCAGTCCAATCCTTTTCCATGGTACACCAAAAGTGACTTACTGCAGTGTTTTACCCAAGCTCTTAAGTGCACAACTAGTATATTTCAAATCATTCTAATTTGGTAAGAGGTTGTTGCTACCACATCCAGAAAATAGTGGTCTTTGTTGACTCTGTGTACATTTGATTTTCCACCATCAACCTAATAAAATCTTTGGATATCACTTAAGAGCTTAATTGAGTTGCTTATACAGAAATAAATGTCAAAAAACCGAACTTATGCTTTTGTTTTGTATTTTGCTAAACTGTAAGACTCATTTGACAAATGTTCTTCGACTTTTGAAAATGAAATTTCCGTTTCAAGGAATATGCCAGACTAAAGGAGGAAACCTGTAAAAAACAAAATAAGTCTCAATTAAAAATTACAAAAATAAAACATGTACAGTACATAAATGAACAGTTGTATTGAATGTCTCGAAGTAAATGCTGTTTGTAGATATCTATAGGCAGAAAACAATTCTAAACAATATTTAAATCAATACATTGATAATCTAGTCAATTCACGTATAAACCTGTTTTTCGGGGGGTAATCTCAATTTGAGGGAAGGAACTAATTTGAATTCCAACTTCCAATTCTGTTTTATTACAAATAATATTACGTAGATCTTTATAACTTAAATTTAAATGCAGAAAAACTGATCTGTTTGTAATATTTTAAATAAAAAAAAAAATAACACCAAGAACACTGAAATGATTTATTTTTGTAGTTAAAATTATTTCTCTCAGAAAGGGCTGTTTTGTACCCCATCTGTCCTCCCATGAAGATTTCGTCCAGTTGTGCTGCCTTTTTCGCCATCTGTTAGTCATATTACGGACTCCACCATCTTCACATAATGTTCCAAAATTCCTTGTCTCAGATTTATTTTACTGTCAACATGTCTGGTTTAAGCTATACTTTAACTATTTTAATGCGTAATCTCTTAAAACAGCAAATCTCAAAATGGTGGCTATCACCTACCCACCACTTTAAGCAGATGAGATTCCCCATGATAAAAGCCTGATACACCTTCCATTCTGTGTCTTTGAACGGCTTCCGCATCACTGTTTTCCACTACCAGAGTTGCTGCCATCACCACTGGTGCTTTTTTTCCTTATATCCTCTGATGTGGAATACCAGAGGGGGTCTAGACCTGCCACAGACTGCTGCAATTGATCTCCTGACTGAAGGGAGCAGCAAAATGTAAAAAAACGTCCCTTTTATTGAAAACACTGAGAACTTGTTAGAGGTAGGTGTAATGTGTTCTCAGTTTGCTTAACCCGTTGGGTGTTTCATATGACTGATTGCCTGAGTTAATTTCCTTGTGTGGATGATTGCTGGGTGTTTGAGTGCTGATCCTACTTGAGGCTGATCACAGTTCACCACATGTTCCTTGCTGACTAAATTTTCCTTTCCTGTTTGTTTCATGGGCTTATTTGAATTAAGTCCCCTCCCCCTTTTTGTTGGGATCCTCAGGCTTGCCCACCAGAGGGCGCCGAGGATCCTTTTCTGCTCTCTTTGTTTTTCCCTTAGGGTTGGAGTTACTGTGGGGATCTGGAGATTACCCTCTGTCTCCAGCAGGATGCGCTGTGGGTCTTCTGGAGCTGGAACCTTCCTGCACACCTGTTCCTAATCCTCTTATCAGAAGACCTCTCCTTTATAAGCTCCTGCCTGTCCTTGATTCCAGGCCGCAGTGTTGATCTTAGTTGGTTAGCTTCCTGAGCCTCTGTTACAGAAGAATCTTTGTTATTTCTCATGCGAGATCAGATTCTAATTCTTCCTTGTCTCTGCCTCACAGGAATCCTGTCTCTTCGTGAAAGCTCTGGATGAGCTTAACCTCCTGTCTCCTCGTGAAAGCTCTGGATGAGCTTAACCTCCTGTCTCCTCGTGAAGCTTTGGAAGAACTGTCTCTCTGGCAACCTGTCTCTGGCCTGCAGCTCTGGGAGAGTTGCATCACAGGGAACCAGTTTCAAGCCTAAAGCTCTAGGAGAGCTAGCCAGCTAATCAGCCCTGGTGAGCCACCCGAGGACCCCTACGTGGTTTAACCTGAAGACTTCTTCGTGGAGTTCCCTAGAGGTTCCCATGTAGATTATCTCCTGTTTTTCTCAGTCATCCAGCCATCCCCTGCTCCCTGCACAGACTCCAGTGAACCAGCCCCAGACCCATTCTAGTCCCAGTGTTTTTCTGTGTGTATTTGGACTTTATTAAACATTTTGAACTTTTCCCCTGCCTCCTCCGTGTGTGTTCTGCATCTTGGGCTTAACACTAAGAAAACCCATCATGACACTTTTTATGCAATGAGGATTAGACACCTGGATCAGATATCGGCTCAGATATTGACCAATTAGCTGGATGGAATATTGGTGATCTGATATTGGACATCAGATGTTCAATCAAGTGAACTTTACTTGGAACTGTTATTTCTCAAATAATGTAAATTATATTTATGTACAGTATGTGTTGTTACCGTTTTTAAACAATGTTTATGTCAGATATATGGTTCATTTATTCAACAGTTGAATCGCATCGGTATGGGATGATATATTCAGCCCAGGTATCTGTATCGGATTGGATCGGAAAAAACTGAACCAGGACATGTTCAATGAGGATTGGTTGTTTCATTTAACTGGTCAGAACTGGCCGTCGCTCCTCCTTTTTCAACCTACTGAGTCTAGTGGGTAGCTGATTGGTTCAGTCGGTTTGGTTGTCGCTCCCTCTTCCAGCCTTCTAAGGTAACTGGGCTAGCTGGGGTAATGTGACCCATCCATCAGGGGGCATTGTAACCCTCAGAGAGTTCATGACTTACAGTTGTATATGTAAAAACAAGTGTTCATGTAGCCACAGAAGAATAAAAAAAGCAGGCTTGCAGCTCAAGAGAAGCTGGCAGCACAAAAAGTAAATGAGTGCTTTAATTCTTAAAAATAGAAGACAAAACATTACAGTTGTTAGGCACATTTCTCTGGTCTGTCTCCTACAACCGGGGGCCTACTGGGATTTACAACTTATTTCATAATTACGAAATAAGTTGTCATAATTATGAGATAATGTGTCATAATATGTCATACTTAGGAGATCAGGAAGGACAGTCAATGCTGACCTACGCTACATGAAACGTGAACAATGATCGGGTTGTCGGATTTAATATGCTTTTATTTCCTTTAAGGTATGTGACACCGGGGAATACTGAGTTTCCTCAATGTGGATGTAAATAGTTTTGCTCTTTCAGCATTACACAGTAAGTCCTTAGAATTGCTAAGGCGAAAGAGCCCACTCTGACTCCTATCTCGTAATTATGAGAAAAAAATCTAATAATTACAAGATACTGATCTCGTAATTATAAGATAAGTGTTCTTATTTTTCTTTTCTTTGGTGAACGCAATATGCTTCCGAACATTGCTGTTTGAGTCAGGATGATTGTTTTTTACCAAATCTGCAAGTTCCCCAACGTTCTGCTCATCCTTACTGGCTACCATGGCCCCATAGTCAG